TTTAAAAAAATAAAGTTATTAAAAAAACCCCGAAAAACCCACAAAATTCTCTTCTGAAAACACCAGAGAGTTAATATTATGATGTGGGAAGAAGCACATAGCACATTGCTACCTACCTGAATGAGCTTGGCAGCAAACTGGTTCACTTCATTAACTCTTTCTTCATGGGCAGCCATATCTGTTTGAAACTCTTCAAATTTCTTCTGTAAAACCTCCACGTGCTCCAAGTCCTGGCCCAGCTCCTCAGAAGTCACGATAGCTTCCTATTCAGGACCATACCAGAGCCAGAGTCACGAACCAACACTTGGAAATGATGGCTCCTAGAAACCCAGCATGAACGAGGCCCACCAGGATGGGCCACGTTAGCTTTAGTGGCTGCTAGTTTATCCTGGGTGAGCTTAGCTCCGCTCCTTGTTAAAAGGCTGAGCTCATGATGTTTCAGTGTGAGACTCCAGGTTTCAGAGTTCCAGGCGAGCACCCGCCGGGGAGCAGCTGGAGCTGGAACAATCCCACTACACGCCTTCTGCTGCTCACACAGGCTCGGCTGTGGCTGCAGGGGGTGGGGGTGGGGTGGGGGGGGGGACACCCTTCCCTTGCTCTCGCGAAGGTGAGTTACTCTGCAAACCTTCCCCTCGGAAACAGACCTTGTCATTGATCCAGTCCATCACGTCCTCACACTCTCGCAAATACTGCACCAGCTTCTGAGCCTGCAGCAGTTTGACTCCCTTCTCCCGCATCTTCTCCAAAAGCAGCTCCCACTGGCGGTGCAGCTCCATCAAACGAGTCTGCAGATTAAAAATCAGCCTCAGAGATCATAACCATTTCTATGGGATCTGGCTCCTCCACAGACTTCCCATGAGTCAGAAACCCCACAGCTCGGAAGTCTTTCTAAAGATAATCTCCGCTCCCCCCTCCAAAAATATTCCCGAAACGGAGGGAAACCAGAAGTCTGAGAACTGGAAAGAAGAGACACCTCACAGTGGTTTAGTAGGTCTTAAAGAACAAAATAACTGACCTTTCGCAGGTGGATTTTTTTCTAGTTTACTTTAGGGGAATTATATTCAACTATTATTGATGTTACATTATTTATAATTTATGTTCTTAGTAATGAACCATTAAGTGGGATTCCTGGGTCAGAAGACTACTGGGGAAGGAGACAGGAGGAATTGACATGGAAACTAAGCAGGGGCACCTGGGTGGCTCAGTCGTTACACGTCTGCCTTCAGCTCAGGTCATGGTCCCAGGGTCCTGGGATCAAGCCCATCAGGCTCCCTGCTCCTCCCTCTCCCACTCCCCCCTGCTTATGTTCCCTCTCTCTCTGTGTCTCTGTCAAATAAATAAAATCTTTAAAAAAAAAAAAAGAAAGAAACTGAGCAGAAATTCCTCAAGGGTGTGTTCTGAATTGTGGAGGGAAACAATGAAACAAGAGATCTTATGAGCACTGTGAATGCAAAGAAATAATGATGAGGCCCAAGTCAGCAGGAACACCTTCATATAAAAAGAGGAGGGTGCCTGGGTGGCTCAGTTAAGCATCTGCCTTCGGCTTGGGTCATGATCTCAGGGTCCTGCGATCGAGTCCCGCAAGGGGCTCCCTGCTCAGCGGAGAGCCTGCTTCTCCCTCTTGCCTCCCTCTGTCTCTCATGAATAAAATTTTTAAATAAAAAATAATAAAAGTAGAAGGGATGGGGCCCTGAAATGTAATCAGCGATCAAAAAGGATTTCTGGTAGAAAAGTTTTGGAACTTCGATGAAAAGATAGTTTGTGGTCCAATACATCCAGGTTGGGTTTATTTCCAACTTCACCCAAGTGGCAGCCCCAGGCTCAAACATACTCACTTCCCAGCATCTTTGGGTTCCCATGGCACAGTTTTTAGTAAGAACCTGCCCACAACTGGGGGGATCCAGTCATCAATTCAAGCTTCCGGGATGCTTTCTGGTATCTAATCCAATCTCCATGTGTTGCCTATGCCTACCCAAGATACTGGGAGTTTCCACATAACGCTGGCAGACCAAGTAAAACACACGACAAGGCTGAAACACTCACAGAAGAGAAGTCTGGGATCCGCCCATGGTTGAGACACCCCTCCCAGCCAGCTAAAATCTTGAAAGCCAAGGGACAGCCAACATGGGTGGATCCTCTTAGAAACAAGGGTGCATGTTTCACTTGAAAGAGGAAACAGCAGGGGGATATAAATGTTCACACAATTCACTTCCACCACTGCAGGTTGCAAAGCAGCCTGCCAACGGGAAGAAAGTGAAAGGCACTCCAAGGCAGGGGGGCAGGAACGGGCAAGCAGCAGCAACTCAATATTCCACCTACTCGGATGTGGGACCCGATGTGGGTGGCAGTGACTATGGGGCGCCACGCTGTCCGGTACGGTGTGAAAGTCTAAACCGACGACAGAGAGGTTATCCAGGACACAGAAGCAATCTTCACCCTCCACCCCCCGCCCCCACGTTAACCTGCCTGCCAAACGCTGTTACCGAGTTATGGAGCCAGATAAAGCACCAAGCCAGGATCACCATGGGAACTGTGAGCATGACAGTGAAGATGAAATGAAAGCCCTTGCTCCAATTAAAAACGAGACCACCAGAGGCTCACAGAAAACCTCACCCTCAAGGCCGTGGTCAGTCCCTCACAAAGATCTTTTTCACACCCTCGGGTAAAGAACCAGGGCATGGGGCGCCTGGGTGGCTCAGTTGGTTAAGCGACTGCCTTCGGCTCAGGTCATGATCTCGGGGTCCTGGGATCGAGTCCCACATCGGGCTCCCTGCTCAGCGGGAAGTCTGCTTCTCCCTCTCCCACTCCCCCTGCTTGTGTTCCCTCTCTCCCTGTGTCTCTCTCTCTCTGTCAAATAAATAAATAAAATCTTAAAAAAATAATAATAATAATAAAATAAAATAAAGAACTAGGGCAAAGCCCGCTCCAGTACTGGAACCACCCTCCCATTCTTGGTGTATCTGATCTCGTAAACATTGCAGGTTAGAGTCCAGTTTCCCAAGCACACTGCAGTTCGAGAGTGTGAGCGGGCAGGCAGGCAAGTGCACTTGGGAAAGGCACAGAAAGCTGACGGGGTGGAGGTGAAGTCCTGGTTCTGACTCAGGTGGATTTCTCAACAGGGGCATGAGCAAACAGCAGGAGCTTTCAGAGAAGCAGATGGGTGAGAAAATAAGGAAAGCCAACAGGAATGAAATACAGCTTGGAAAAATAAAGCAAATAATCGTCAGTAGACAAAGGAAGGCATTCATCGGAATTCCAGTTGCCATCTACTAGCTGTGGGATCTGGAGAAGTTACTCAAACTTCTCCGAGCTTCGGTTTCTTCTCTTCCATACTGTGGGGATGATGGGTACCTAGTGAGTTTCTAGTGAAGATCAGAGACTACCTGCGTCAAAATGGCAAAGTGTTAGCACATAAATAGCTACTCAACAAACGGTGGCTAACAGCACTTTTAAATGTTGCTTTAATAGGATCTCCAGGAGGAGGGTCATTACTAACAGAGCTGAATGAAGTGAGTGTGGGGTCGCCTCCTCTCCAGATTCGTCACTAAAGTCAAACACTCGATCTGCTTCTCTTGTCCCCCATCTGCAGCCCTACAGTGCCACGCACTCTGGGCAAACAACTTCTATCAAGCAAATAATAAGGCATGCTGCTTTCATTTACTTGAAGACTGTATACAAAATAGTGAGAAAATGAGCAGAAAGATATTTATATTTAACTGCAGAGACACACGGTACATATTTAATTACAGAGCTACATGTTACATTACCCAAAGGGGTTGAACGTAATTAAATAGTTGGTCATATGGCATTCAAAATTTACTCTTATTTCCTACTCGCAATCATTACTAGTAATAGTTAATTATTAATAAGCTTAGGGCTGACTGCAAGTCTTTAATATGAGACTGCAGAGTCTATTAGTGCAAAAGAGAGACAACAAGTATTTACTGTTGAAAACCACTAGACCAGATCCTACAGGAATGAAAGCTCCACAAGGATGTCAGGGAAGAGCAGGGGGTGGGGATGTTTCTAGCTGGGGCTTATGAATGTAGCTTTCATCTAACTCTCCACAATTGCCTTGACTGGTAAGGGACTGAAAAGGCCAGTCCCTCAAGGGAACGTGACTTTGGATGACAAAGAACAAGACACAGAGATAGGAATGAGGTAAATCAGAAACAGGTAAGAGCATCCGTTGTGAGAAACTAAGTGTACATACTTTATCCTAAAGAGGTTTGCTTTCCCTTAATATCTTGGTACTGGACATGTTAAAGCAGAGAAAGATAATTGAACTGGCACCAAACAAGCCAAATCAAAGAACGTAAGGACGCCTGCTTCAACGTTGGCTGTTATCAATCACTACGGTCACCGACCAGCAGGTGCTGCAAGTCACTGCTCACAGCTGGACCCTTAACTGGCTTGGGGACTAGACCTCAGCAAACCACCTTTGCGGGCAAGCCACCAAGACCCAGAACTCAAGTTTTCAACGGAGAACTTTATGGTGTCTGTGATTAATCCTACTGATCTTTGTGTCCTGATCCCCAAATTCACGAATTTCACTAATATGCTCTCCCCTTTAATTACCATCTATAAATTTGGTTTCATTTACGTAATCTTCTTTAAAGTATAATCACATTCTAATTTGTTTTACAAAAAGAATATTAATTTCCCCACTGAGCAGACACATACTTGTTTATATTCATACTGAATCATCATATTACAAAGGCAAGATGTGGGTAACTCCTTTAGGAGACTTCACAAATTCTCTTAAAAGGCTAGAAAAGTGGGGTGCGTGGGTGGCTCAGCGGCCGACTAGTGATTTTGGCTCAGGTCATGATCTCATGATTCGTGGCATCGAGCCCTGTGCTGGGCTCTGCACTTGGTGGGGAATCTGCTTGAGATTCTCTCTCTCCCTCTGCCCCTCACCCCACTCTCTCACTCTAAAATAAATAAAAATCTCAAAAAAAGCTAGAAAAGTCTTTTTTAGAAACCCTACTTGGCATTTAATCCACATTCCTCCACTAACCAGACGCCACCCATACCAGACCAGATGGCCTCCCGTAGCAGGCACTACTCCTACTCACCCTTATGGTTTCAGATGCAAAATGCCCTTCTGAGATCATCAGGTTTCCAGTTTCATCCAGTTTAACAATGGCTCCTGAGTTGGCCTGCACTTCAGCTTCGAAGGCCTGATGCTTCTGAAGCTTGCCCTGTTGGTGGACCATGACGTGAACCACAGCGGCAACCACATGGCAGTCACCATTCTGCCCTCCCCCCTCAGGTCCCCTTACCTCTCCCCTCTTGAACCCTGTTCCCTCTAATTAGGGACACTCAGCATCCCACCCATTCCCCCCCTGCTCAATTACTCAAATACTCTGACCTCATCTACACTGGCTTTTGGAAGCCTGGCCACTGAGGACCACCACCTTTGTCTAACTTTACTGTCTATCAGGAAATTAGCCTTTATGTGGACATCCAATCCCCTCTAGAAATATAGAGCCACACCAACAATTTTCTTAGCATGTACAATTTACTCTTGGATAATAATCCATCCACATTCACTCATTCTATGACACTTTTTTCTCTTCTTGGACGACTCTGGTATAGTAAGAGAACCATGTGTTCCACCTGCTAAAAAAAGTCTTTCACCAAAATCAATGAGAAGAAAGGCTTTGTCCTTTTTTAAAAAACAGCTTTAGTGAGGCATAATGTATATCACAAAATTAACTTCGGTTACAATTCAATGATTTTTAAAGACTTGCTTTTGATGTAAGACTTACCAGTGAGTTGCTTAAAGAGACGTTTAACTATAAATTTCCACCAGCAACACTGTTAGCGTGCCTTTCTTGAAAATTCATTTTCCCAGAGCTCAACCCAGACCCTCCCTAGAAACATGCCACCAAGGGTTGCAAGGCAGTGGTTTCAGAACCATCAGCTTGAAGCATCCAGAAAAGCTAAATACCTGCAAGATTTCACATACACCCTTAGTGTGTACAGTATAATACACACACCAAGGGCTTTTCAGAATAGTTAGTCCTGCCTTATGTCTGATCTACATTCTTCTTGCTCAAGGTCATAATTAAATGACTGTGTGATTTGGGGGCAAAAACATTTGAGCTCATGAGTTCTGGCAGGAATCTCAGGGAGATGAGACGCACCTGCAAGTTGGTTGGGTCTTTATAATTCTCATCGGATGCGATCTGTAGTTTCTCCTGAATCCATTTCTCCAGCTCCTCAGCATCTCTCTGGAAAAACTGGAATCGATAGGAGTCTTCAAGCTTCTGGCGCCTAAGGGTTGAGAGTTCCTTGAAGCGGTGGTATCTGTCTAGGACCTGCTGCCTCCTCTCCTGGATGTCCTCTGCTGTTTCCAGCACTTTGACCCCACTTGGGTCCATTTTCTGAAAAGACAGAATGCCCTGAAATAAGCACAGACTGAAGTGGATTTCATGGAATCAACCTTTCTGAAGGAAAGAATTACCAGATAGCCCTGGCAGACAAACGGAAGGAGAAGGTAGTCCCTTCTCAAGACAGAACAATGAGCCTTGATTCTATTCCTTTGTGAAAAATAGCCATCCACTTGCTGCAACACCTGCCTACATGGGTACCTCAGAGGATGCCTAACCAACATCGCAGCCAAACTCAGAGAAACCGGGAGAACTAGAGTTTACCAGCAATTCTACACGGGCTTTAAGGATTCAAAGGAAATGCCAAAGTGGTACTCAAAGAATTACTGAAAAATCCATTCAAAAGTCCTTTCACCTGGTCTCTATATTCCATTGTGTGGAGATTAGAAAGAATTTACTCTTACTTAAATCAATTTTTCTAGCTTTCCATATCTCAGCCTGTTATCCAACGAAGAAAAGGGGATGATTACAAAGTAACAGAGTCCTTGACATCAATAAGAATTTACCTAATCAGGGATGCTTGGGTGGCTCATTTGGTTTAGCGTCTGCTTTTGGCTCGGGTCATGATCCCAGGGTCCTGGGATCTAGTCCCGCATCGGGCTCCTTGCTCCATGAGGAGCCTGCTTCTCCCTCTGCCTGCCGCTCCCCCTGCTTGTCTCTCTCTCTCTCTCTCTCGTTCTGACAAATAAATAAAATCTTTAAAAAAAAAAAAAAAAAAAAGAATTTACCTAGTCAGAGCCCCTGAGTTCCCAGTTTTTGGGAAACATCAACCCTCAAGTCTTCCTCAGGCTACCAGAGCGCCTGGGCCAAGGACAGGCCGTGTTGCCCGTGAATGTGCACACACAAAAAATCACAGTGCAACTTAAAAAAAAAAGGTGTGGTGAGTTGTACACCTGAAACTAATAAAAATGGTATGTCAACTACAGTTTAAAAAAATTCAGGTTTACGTCACAAATACTTACATTACATAAATTTTAAAGTAATGGATGCTTTACATAAAGATTAGTAGCGATTATTAAACAGGTAAACAGGTGGTCATGCATCTAAATCTGAATCTGATGTGATACTAAAAATCAGAAATCTAAACACAAGAACAAGGTGTGGTGCAAGGTTTACCCTGCTTTCCGCCCACCGACCACTGTGGACAGCACACTGTGGAGCTCAGCCCCAGGCTCCAGTTCGCCACGACGGCAGGCTGACAGAGGAGGCAGCACTCAATCTGCCCCAACTCTAAATCCCCAGATTTCTGGACACTTTAACCAAATTTTCAAGTCAAAAAGAAAACTTGACTTATTGATGGGCAAAACCCAGAAGATGCTACCCATGCTCATCAGGAGTAACCCTTGATTCCTCTAACCTACAGACCACAGCGGGAAAGAGGTACAGACTAATGACAAAGAGCTTCTAAATGTGTCAGTACCACATGACCTTGCACGGGCCACTTTCCTGTGCCTCAGTTTCCTACAATGATTAAAAATGACAGGTGAAAATGAGGCATCTCGGGACCCTTCCAAATGTCAAATTACATTCTACAGAAGATTCAGAGATTTGGTAGGAAAGCAGAACAGATAAACTTTCTAGCCTCTCCAGCTATTGTCCCATAATTTATACATGGTATGAAAACTGTGTTACCCAGGAGACATTTGAGAGCTCTTCTTGTTCACCTGGCCGGGCTAACAGCAGAGGATAAGCAGGCTAATAAGGACTAGGCAGGGAAGTCTCAAGAGTGCCCCCAGCATCCAGCTGGGAGGTAAACAGCATTGGTGGGATCCAGGTGAGTCAGTTTTTAACTCTTCAGGGATTAAAGCAGCTTCAAGAGGTAGCAAGAAATCATCCTCTGCACCTGATCAACTCTGAGGACTATCTTTCTAGGAAGCCATGATCTTCCTAACAGTGAGGACATGAGGTGATCGTAGCCCTATCACCGTTCCTTCCAAATTATTCTCCACGTACTGACCATTATTTTGTTGTACTATTGTTTCCCCACAAAGTCTGATTGATTCATTGATTGATTTTACTATAAAAAGGAACATATTCTTGGCCACATGCTCCCATGCTTTAAGACCTCTTATGGCTCCCTTCTGAGGGAGGAAAGAATCCAGCTCTTTAGCAGGACCTTGTGATTTGGCCCAATACATGTGACTCGTATCATCTCTCACCCATGTCCCCTACCCTCTAGGAATATTGAAATATTCTTTCTCTTCCAAATACAGAATTCTCTGTAAAGACTCTAAGCTAGGGAATGCCTGGGTGGCTTAGTCAGTTAAGTGTCTGCCTTCAGCTCAGGTGATGTTCCCAGGGTCCTCCCTTGCTCAGCCGGGAGCCTGCTTCTCCCTCTGCCTGCCACTCCCCTTGCTTGTGTGTGCGCTCTCTCTCCCCTTGACAAATAAATAACATCTTAAAAAAAAAAAAAACAAAAAGACTCCAAGCTATTTGCCCTGGCTTCCTTTGTGTAGAATGATCTGCCTCTCCTCTGCCTAGATAACTCCTATTTATACCTCAGTGCCCAGCTGAGAGGAGTAAGCTGTATGATCTTGCCTCCTTCCCAAGCTGTACTCAATGCTCCTTCCTTCCCTCCTTCTCAGAATTAATCACACGTTTCTACAGATTTACAAAGCACTTGCATATACTTCCCACGGTGTAATTAGACTGAGCAACCTAATCTTTATATCCCCGATTTCTGGCATACACGGGCCATTAGGAAATGTGTGTTGACAAATAACCAAGTATATGCTGAGTGCTGTAGCCACCACGCAGGAGACTGGAATTCACTTGTAAAAGGTGGGGATAGAGCTCCATCATCCACCCAAGTTACAGTTTCCATATTGTCAAATTGGAATTCCACCCAGGCAAAAGCCAGATTTGTGACAAGAACTGCAAATGGAGAATGAAGCTCTACAACTAGGTGTCAGCCTACTGAGCAAATGGAAATTACTAATCTTGGACTGAGCACATGGCAGTACATTGTGAGAAATGAGGTGGCCTTTTCCCTCCAGTCGGGTGTGCCCTTAGTGAAACAGAGCTCAAGATGGCAGTTCTGTTATCAACAGATAGCTGTGTCTGGAAAAAGTATCTTCTATCCTTAAAACCCCAAACTGAGGGTAACCTTAAAAAATTAAATGTCTGGGGGCACCTGGGTGGCTCATTTGGTTAAGCATCCAACTCTTGGTTTCGGCTCAAGCCATGGGATGGAGTCCCATGGAGCATGGAGCCTGCTTGAGATTCTATCTCCTCCCTCTGCCCCTCCCCCCTCAAATAAATAAATAAATAGGTCTTTTTTTTTTTTTAAAGTAAACACCTGTTCACAGTGGAGTGGAGTTTCTGTAACGATACTTCATTACAACAGGGAAGTTCTGGTTCACATTGCTGCCCTAAGAATCTCAGCCTCTTTGGGTTTTTGATGAGGATAACTACCACATTGACTAGAATGTAAACGGGACTTCACTCACTCACCTACACTGTCTGCTCCAGCCATATCTCTTATCAAACTCCCACACCAACTCCAAGTTACAGGCCCTGGCAGGGCCCATTTCCCAGTTTAGAAAGTCCCCTTGGTCAGTAATGTTCTCTCCTACTCCCAGATTCACCACCCAATACCATACAAACCCCTCCAAGTCTAATGCAACTACCCTGTCCTCTCTGCAGTCCTAAGTCAGAAGTCTTCACTCCCCCCATGCTTCTCTTTAGAGCACGATCACATTCTGCCAGGTTTTCTCCCTGCCATTTTTGTGATTCTTTAGTAAATTTAGAGTTCCTAAGGGACTATATGAAAAAGACCTTATCTTCCTCTTCCTCTCTGACCACAGAACTCGGCACATAGTACAGCAGTTACATTCTGAACCTGGAAACAGAGAAACTGCGGCACTTCATTATTAAGTAGGCAGGGGACACAAGGTCATCTAATAACCGAGTCACAGAGCCTACCTGGGGTGAGCCATGATCCTCTGGTTCCCAGACTAGCGTGCCAGAACCAATGATTCTGCACATGACTGCAACTGACATACTCTTTTATTGATGGCTGTTTGCGTATTCATTCCTTTCACTACCTCTTATTTTTCCCATCACCACTTTGGAGGGAAGAAAGGGGGAAGCAGATATATTAATTATTCAAAAAAATAAAAACTGGTCTCCTGCTGGCTCAGCCAGCGCAGCATGTGACTCTCAGGGTCATGAGTTCGAGTCCCACACTGGGTGTAGAGATTACTTAAATAAAAACTTAAATTTTTTTAATCAAGAAATAAATATTTTGTTTTTGTAAGATTCTTAAGTTAGTAAACAATCAGGGTTAAGAAATTATACACTTCCTTTATTCTAATCCCTTGAGAAACCGTTTAAGATGAAAAAAGAGCAGGAAATTGTGTCTAATTTGCTCCCTCACAAAATTTTCTGGCAACGAAATGTGCCAAGGAAGGTGTAGTTACATATGAAACCACCACAGTGCACGAGTTCCTGCAAGAAGCCTGAGTCCTTAGATTAATGCTGAGGGCGTCTGTCCTGCCTCTTCATACACAGGATTCACTGCATTTCTAAAATCCTTTAGCTGCTATGGAAATTTCTAAGAAATCTCACTGGGGAGCAGGCCCTTTATGATGAAGCCAAGAATCCCCAACATAATGCGGCAAGGGCACTGCCTTAGCAAGTCCCCCTGCCTACCAATCCAGGGAGACAGTCCAGCGAGGCCCTGCTGAAATTAACCAACCTAAAAGGCCCTCTTTGTCACCCCAGTGAAGTAGAACAAGTCAATTCTATACCAAGTGCTTTGGTCAGGCAATAATGGACTTTTCTTTCCTGCGGATCAGCTGACGTCAGTAGGTGGGAGCTCTGCCAAGCCACCACTGGCTGTCCCTGGGGAGCTGGACATCTGAAAGTCATCAAAGCTCTCCCATTGCTGTGGGCATTCAGGATCCTCATTTGCACGGTTACAGGAGCCTAAGATGATGGGTTAATAAGAGTTCCCCACCCCTTAACCTGATAGGGAGCTGTCTCTAAGT